CAAAAGAGCAATTTTTCTGTGGAAAATTTCATTTTTGCCAAAAGGGCATTTTCTAGTGAAAATCGTTTGAGTTCCTCACTAGCTCTACATTTGGTATCCTTTTCCCTTGACAGTGCACCTGGCAGCTGTGCCACTTGGACACACACTCGGTTTGTTTTCATAATCTGAAATAAAGTTTTGCTGGCATTGTGGGGAGGGAGAAGCACTGGCAAAAGCTTGGAAAACCAAACAGGTGAATAGTGTTCTTTTAAAAAAAATGAAATAAAATAAGTGGAAATATTAGTCTGCGTTACAGGTTCATCTTTTTGAACAGCCCAACTGGGCACAGGTTGATGGCAGAAGTGAATACCTGGAATGTGAGCCTGAATATTCTTAGACCATTCTGGAATCGGATATAATGCCATTGTAAATGAATAGGGGAGTTGGAAAGGAAACTCTCCAGGGAATAATACAAGTTATATTACGACTTTGGCATTGTAGAGTAGCCTTTTACATAAAGCGCTCAAAACACTTTGAGAACACAAATTAATTCTCAACAAACCACTATAATATAAGTTCTATTAACTCTATTTTACAGATGTGGAAACAGTTAAAGAGGGCTAAGGGCTCAGTTTTTCCTGTCTGTCTCCATAAATATGCTAGCCTGAGGAGAAGGGAAAAGAAGTCCTTTACCTCTAGCACACCTATGCAGGACTGCAGGCATAATCCTCGCCTTAGCCCAGGGAGTGTAAGAGAGCTGGACCAGCTAGCACAGCCTGCATCACTGACCAGCTCCAGGGCTGAGAGTGGCATGGGAAGTTATATCAGGATCTGCTGTGCCTGTGTTGCCTTGCTCTGTGTTCAGGAGACGTTATACTGTTGACATTGCTTCTCAAATTGTGCAGCTCTTCCTCCCCCCAACTCTCTAACATGGCTCAGACTCACAGGAACCCTAATTGAGCTGCCCAAGGTCCCTCAGTGGGTCAGTGGCAAAGCTGGAAAAAGAACAATACATTTTGACTCCCAAATCCTCCATGCTAACTACTAAACCAACATCAAAATAGAGTACATTTTACTTCATTTGCAGTGGAAAGGGAGCATGACAGGTTCCTTTGCAGATTATAGAAACACTTTTAAAGACTGGTTTCTCTAGCAACAAGAATGAAGAGAAGCCTCATGAGTTTCTTCCACCTACTCATTTTTTATGCAGTGAAGCAGATGGTTTGGATAATGCAGGTATTACAGATCCTAATTTACTCAGTGTGGAAAGAAATATAAATACTGGAGTGTATGTGCTTTGCAGCATTCAATATCACAGTATAACAATAACTTTAGCATTCATGCTTCTCCAAAATTCTGGAAGTCTGTATTGATACTCATAATATTTATACAATGGCGAAAAAAACCCCTATGTTAATGCAGAGTTAAGATTGCTTGGCAGTATGTCATCCCCTTACAGAACAGTGAATTGAGAAAAAACCCCAAACTTCTGAAAACCAAGAAATGCACTGATAAGGATGCCCATGCAACCTTCAAATCTACCTTCTTTCAGCAACGCCCCAATAACTCTCTCTCTCTCTCTGTCTCTGTCTCTGTCTCTGTCTCTCTCTCTCTCTCTCTCTCTCACACACACACACACACACACACACATTCTGAGATCCAGCAGGAAGTGAGGGGCAGACCAGTTGAAAGTATCTGGGTAAAGCTAAGAGGGCTAAAAAATAGGGGTGACATCACAGTGGGAGTCTACTATAGGCCACCACATCAGTAAGAGGAGGTGGATAAGGCATTTCTAGAACAGGCAACAGAAATATCCAAACCACAAGACCTAGTAGTAATCAGTACACATCTGTTGGAAAAGTAATATTGGACATTTTGTGTTTTGCCTTAAGTTCTTGGAATGTATTGGGAACAACTTTTTATTTCAGAAAGTGGAGGAAGTAACCAGGGAGACAGCCATTTAAACTTGATTCTCACCAACAGAGAGGAACTGGTGAGTGAATCTGAAGGTGGAAAGCAATTTGGGTGAAAATGATCATGAAATAATAGATTTCATGATTCTACAGAAAGGAATCTATAGAGAAGCAGAATAATGACAGTAGACTTCAAAAAGCAGACTTTAACAAATTTACAGAACTACATAAGAACATAAGAATGGCCGTATTGGGTCAGACCAAAGGTCCATCTAGCCCAGTATCCTGTCTACCAACAGTGGCCAATGCCAGGTGCCCCAGAGGGAGTGAACCTAACAGGTAATGATCAAGTGATCTCTCTCCTGCCATCCATCTCCACCCTCTGACAAACAGAGGCTAGGGACACCATTCCTTACCCATCCTGGCTAATAGCCATTAATGGACTTAACCTCCATGAATTTATCCAGTTCTCTTTTAAACACTGTTATAGTCCTAGCCTTCACAACCACCTCAGGCAAGGAGTTCCACAAGCTGACTGTGCACTGTGTGAAGAAGAACTTCCTTTTATTTGTTTTAAACCTGCTGCCCAATAATTTCATTTGGTGGCCCCTAGTTCTTGTACTATGGGAACAAGTAAATAACTTTTCCTTATTCACTTTCTCCACATCACTCATGATTTTATATACCTCTATCATATTCCCCCTTAGTCTCCTCTTTTCCAAGCTGAAAAGTCCTAGCCTCTTTAATCTCTCCTTATATGGGACCCGTTCCAAACCCCTAATCATTTTAGTTGCCCTTCTCTGAACTTTTTCTAATGCCAGTATATCTTTTTTGAGATGAGGAGACCACATCTGTACGCAGTATTCAAGATGTGAGCGTACCATCGATTTATATAAGGGCAATAAGATACTCTCCGGCTTCTTCTCTATCCCCTTTTTAATGATTTCTAACATCCTGTTTGCTTTTTTGACCGCCGCTGCACACTGCGTGGACGTCTTCAGAGAACTATCCACGATGACTCCAAGATCTTTTTCCTGATTCGTTGTAGCTAAAGTAGCCCCCATCATATTGTATGTATAGTTGGGGGGTTATTTTTCCCAATGTGCATTACTTTACATTTATCCACATTAAATTTCATTTGCCATTTTGTTGCCCAATCACTTAGTTTTGTGAGATCTTTCTGAAGTTTTTCACAGTCTGCTTTGGTCTTAACTATCTTGAGCAGTTTAGTATCATCTGCAAACTTTGCACCTCACTTTTTACCCCTTTCTCCAGATCATTTATGAATAAGTTGAATAGGATTGGTCCTAGGACTGACCCTTGGAGAACACCACTAGTTACTCCTCTCCATTCTGATAATTTACCATTTATTCCTACCCTTTGTTCCCTGTCTTTTAACCAGTTTTCAATCCATGAAAGGACCTTCCCTTTTATCCCTTGACAACTTAATTTATGTAAGAGCCTTTGGTGAGGGACCTTGTCAAAGGCTTTCTGGAAATCTAAGTACACTATGTCCACTGGATCCCCCTTGTCCACATGTTTGTTGACCCCTTCAATGAACTCTAATAGATTAGTAAGACACGATTTCCCTTTACAGAAACCATGTTGACTTTTGCCCAACAATTTATGTTCTTCTATGTGTCTGACAATTTTATTCTTTACTATTGTTTCAACTAATTTGCCCAGTACTGACGTTAGACTTACCGGTCTGTAATTACCGGGATCACCTCTAGAGCCTTTTTTAAATATTGGCGTTACATTAGCTATCTTCCAGTCCTTAGGTACAGAAGCCGATTTAAAGGACAGGTTACAAACCATAGTTAATAGTTCCGCAACTTCACATTTGAGTTCTTTCAGAACTCTTGGGTGAATGCCATCTGGTGCTGGTGACTTGTTACTGTTAAATTTATCAATTAATTCCAAAATCTCCTCTAGTGACACTTCAATCTGTGACAGTTCCTCAGATTTGTCACCTACAAAAGCCGGCTCAGGTTTGGGAATCTCCCTAACATCCTCAGCTGTGAAGACTGAAGCAAAGAATCCATTTAGTTTCTCCGCAATGACTTTATCGTCTTTAAGCGCTCCTTTTGTATCTTGATCATCCAGGGGCCCCACTGGTTGTTTAGCAGGCTTCCTGCTTCTGATGTACTTAAAAAACATTTTGTTATTACCTTTTGAGTTTTTGGCTAGCCGTTATTCAAACTTCTCTTTGGCTTTTCTTATTACATTTTTACACTTAATTTGGCAGTGTTTATGCTCCTTTCTATTTACCTCACTAGGATTTGACTTCCACTTTTTAAAAGATGCCTTTTTATGTCTCACTGCTTCTTTTACATGGTTGTTAAGCTACAGTGGCTCTTTTTTAGTTCTTTTACTGTGTTTTTTAATTTGGGGTATACATTTAAGTTGGGCCTCTATTACGGTGTCTTTGAAAAGCATCCATGTCCAGGAGTTCAGGACAGATGGCAGTTTCTTTAATATTGTCTGAAGGAGACATATTAAAGGCACAACTACAAACTATTCTGATGCAAAGGAAAGATAGTGTTATGGAAGATTTTAAGACAACTCCACTCTATCCTTTCAGCACAGCATTAAAAGCATCATTTTACCACCATTAGCTGAAAATAGGGGAAAAAATAAATTAAACTGGCAGGAAAAAGGGTGGCAACAGCAGACCATAACATTAAGATAAAAGAACTAACAATTGAAATGTAGATAAGTGCACAGAAGGGATGAGGTAATTGTTTACCGTTTGGTATATGTGGAACGTTGGTATGCATCCAAGTAAAAGTGGAGCATGCTCAGTACCGAAATAGGCTAAAGGTCACTCAGATAAGTGGTCAGTCAAGCATGCTCAGTGTAAATATAGGATAAAGGTCACAGACCATAATACTAAACAGACCATAATATTCAAAAATGGTAAACAGTAACTCCACAGTTATGTTCCAACAGTTGTGATTGGAGAATAAGAGAAGGATTAAGAAGTAGCCAATAGAATAATTAGAATGATCAGAATGTGAGCATGCTCAGAATGGGTGTGATGGCTGGCAAAACTGTATAAAAGGGAGTGCACCAGAAGGGAATTTTAGATCTTTAGAGAAAGAGAAGTCAAGGGCAGGAGGAGGAGAAGGAGGCGGATTTAGAAGAAGGAGAAATCAGAAGCAACAGCAGAAGAAGAAGCCTCAGGGTGTGAGCAGCAGGAGTGCGAGCTGCTGGGACAGAGCAGAAAGGACCCTGACAGAGCAGAGGGAAAGAAGCCACCAGAGAGAGTAAGCTTGTGATAGATTGTTATAGGTTGGTGTGTACACATGTGTATGTCTGAGTTAATAAAGATGTCTGTGTATGTATGTGTTATATTAATTGACATGTAGAGTTTAAATTATTATAAACTCTTATAATATATATAATCTTATTTATGATAATATATATATAATATATATAAAATATATAATCTTATAAACCTGGATTGCTTTCAGTGAACTGCAAGTGACTGATCAACGCATGCAGAACACAGTCATTTAGTATTGCTTTAACTGTATGTCATTGTGGTTTGGGTGCTTTTAGCTTGTACCCAAAGATTGTGTTAATAAAAGGGATTTATGTTTAGATTATTACATCAAAAATTACTATTTACACCAAAATAAAGAGGTGCCTTGTTTTGGAAAAATATTGGCTGGGTGTCAATCATTTCTATTGGAGGGCTGTATCCATGACCTCTCAGATTCTGTTTAACCCAAGATTCCTTACCAACCCTGGGAACCCATACCTGACAGAAACAGATTAGCAGACAGGTGGGCTGTCTTAGAGAAGACCCTGAGCAAACCTGGGAGGGGGGCAACAGGTGAGCTATTCTGGGGGTACCGTAAATCTGTTTTTGGGGTAACAATAGGAAGATTAGTAAGAGGTCAATATGGCTGCAATGACCTGAAAAAAATCAAAAAGAAATCCTACACAAAGTGGAAAAATGGACGAATTGCTAAGATGGAGTACAAAAGAATAGCACAAGCATGGAGGGACAAAATCAGAAAGGCTAAGGCACAAAACGTAAAGCAAGGAACATAAAAGGCAATAAGAAGAGAGTCTATAAATACATTAGGAGTAAGAGAAAGAGGAAGGAAAGTGTAGGTCCTCTACTTAGTGGGGAAGGAGAGCTAATAACTGACTACATCAAGAAGGCTGAGGTTTTTAAGGCCTATTTTACTTCAGTTTTCACTAAAAAGGTTAATAGTGACCACATACTCAACACAGTTAATATTAACAAGAGGAAAGAAATGCAAGCCAAAATAGGGAAATAACAGGTTAAGGAATATTTAGATAAATTAGATTCATTCAAGTCAGCAGGATTTGATTAAATTCATCCAAGAGTACTTAAGGAATTAGCTAAACCAATCTTGGAACTGTTAGCAGTTATCGTTGAGAACACATGGAGGATGGGTGATGTCCCAAAGGACTGGAGAAAGGCAAACATAGTACCTATCTTTAAAAAGGGGAACAAAGAGGATCCAGAGAATTATAGACCAATCACCTTAGCTTTGATACCTGGAAAGATACTGCAACAAATTATGAAACAATCAATTGTAAGCACCTAGAGGATAATAGGGTTATAAGGAATAGCCAATGTGGATTTGTCAAGATCAAATTATGTCAAACCAATCTAATTTCCTTCTTTGACAGGGTTACTGGTGAGGTGGATCGGGGTGGGGAAAGGAGTAGACCTGATCTATCTTGATTTTCATAAGGTTTTTGACATAGTCTCACACCACATTCTCATAAGCAAACTATGGAAATGTGGTCCAGATTAAATTACTATAGGGTGGGTGCACAACTGGTTGAAAGACCATACTCAAGAAATAGTTATCAATGGCTTACTGTACAACTGGGAGGGTGTATCTAGTGGGGTCTTGCAGGGGTCAGTCCTGGGTCTGGTACTATTCAATATTTTAATTAATGACTTGGATAATGGAATGGACAGTATGCTTATAATTTGTGGATGACACCAAGCTAGGAGAGGGGTTGTAAGCACTTTGGAGGACAGGATTAGAATTCAAAATGACCTAGACAAATTGGAGAATGGGTCTGAAATCAACAAGATGAAATTCAATGGAGACAAGTGCAAAGTACTTCACTTAGGAAAGAAAAATCAAATTCAGAACTACAAAATGGGGAATAGGTGGCAAGGTGGTAGTACTGCTGAAAAGAATCTGAGAGTTATAGTAGATTACAAATTGAATATGTGTCAACAATGTGATGCAGTTGTGAGAAAAGCTAGCATCATTCTGGGTTGTATTAAGAGAAGTGTTGTATATAAGACAGGAAGTAATTTTCCTGCTCTGCTCAGCACTTGTGAGACCTCCGCTGGAGTGCTGTGTCCAATTTTGGGTGCCACACTTTATGAAGATGTGGACAAATTAAAGGCTGCTATAAGAAGGATGGTGATCAATTGTTCTCCTTGCCCACTGAAGGTATGACAAAAGTAATAGGCTTAATCTACCGAAAGGGAGATTTAGGTTAAGTATTAGGAAAAGATACCTAACAATAAGGCTAGTTAAGCTCTGGAGTAGGCTTCCAAAGGAGGTTGTGAAAATCCCCATCATTAGAGGTTTTTAAGAACAGGTTGGACAAACACCTGTAAGGGATGCTCTAGGTTTACCTAATCCTGGCTCAGTGCAGGGGTCTGGACTCAATGACCTCTTTAGGTCCCTTCCAGCAATACATTTCTATGATTCTATACGTTTACTTTGTCAATCCCATAGTTACTGAAATGTAAAGCTCTTCACCTCCTTTTACAACCCATTCACTTCATGTCACCCTCCCTCTACCCTCTTCAAGCAATGCACCCACTCACACTGGCTCTTGGCACTGTAAAATTCAAGAGGTTCCAGATCCTGGCATACACTAATACAAACACAACTAATTAACTATACAGGGGAAGCAGCAAAACTCACTATGCACACAGTATTGTAAAATGCACAAGGTAACCAGATTAGGAATAAATGGGAACATTTTCATTTCAGTTACATTAATCTTAAGGTATATCTATACCTATGGCAGCATGTAGACTTACAGACACGGTATGCCCAGCTAGCATGGGTATAAATAGCAGTGTAGACAGTGAGGCACAGCTTAGGTGAATAGAGTTGAGTGTCCTACAGACCTGAATCCTAGTGTATATATACCTAAGCAGTGCCTCCCACATCTACACTGCTATTTTTTAGCAGTGTAGTGTCCCACTGTTTCCCTGCTGCCAGAGCCTTTCCCCACCTCATTGAAAGGCTCCGACAACAAGGAAAGGCTCTGGCAAGGTGGAGGAAGTGAAGAAAGGCTCCAGCAGCAGGGAAAGGCTCTATCATGTCCCTGCTGCTGGACCCTTTCACCACTGCTGATATCTTTTGCTGACCTGTGTAGCTACATAGCACAGTGACAAGTGTGGACCCAGACTGCTTTCACTGCTGTAGGTAGCTACACTTGTAGTGCCTGTACTATACTCTGGTGTAGACAAGTCATTAGGTATTAAAATTTGCTGTACTAAGTACAACATGTTCAGACAGAATGTGATTTTTAAATGGACAATAGTCCTTTAATCACTGCCTTCATCAGTAAAAATTAAGATCAGACCTGACCCTGTTCTTTAGATCAGTGGTTTATTACATGTAGTGTCTACATTCCTGAAAAGCTATCCCCCAAAGAAGGACAGATAGGAAAAGGATGGGAAGAGAGAACTCAACAGGAAAAGTCAGTGATTTGGTTTGTTGTTTGGCACACATTCTGTTAAACTGAGTTATGTTAGACGGTCATGAGGCTACTTCTCAGACAGTGCCTCTTTTGCCACAGCACTTACGTGTCTGATTCTGCACATTGCTGAGCATGCTCAACTCCCATCAACTGAAATGGGAGACAGAGGTGCTCACATTTGGCAGAAGGTAATCAGAATCTCACAGGATCCTGACCTTACGCGATCTTCCCTTGGAGAAGCAAAAAGACTCGCATTGCTCCAATAATAAGTGGTCATAAAAAAACATCTGATAGCATAAATATGGAAAATGCCCAGTTCAGAGACATCACATTGCCTCGTGTAATTGATGCCTTCACATTCTAAGCTGTCCCTATGCATCTAACCAGAAACGTGTTATTACACCTCACCAGTTATATTTATAACCTGAGCCACATTTTCAAATGCGAACACACAAGTTATTGAAGGTGCTCGCATCCTTCATGAAAAAAAAGAACCAACAGATCATTTGAAAATCAGCAAAATAAATAGATTCAGGGATATTTCAGCTTTTACCTCTGCCAGCCAGGAAAATAATTTTCATAATTTATAACAAACTGCAAAACAGGGTGAGGGTACACTTACACCGATGTTGCAGGAATCTCTGCAAATAGGAATGTTTTCATGCAAATGCTAAGTGACAAATAATATAAACATCTACTGCCTTTAAAATTTCCAACAACTTTATAAATAGTTATTTTCATCTCTTTTTGTTAGGAACTGAATTGTTCAATTCACTTTCCAGTACCAAAGAAAAATAACAAAAAACCTCAGGATCAATAAAATATTGCCTAATTTGTGGAAATATTCTGATGCAGTTAGGTGTCACAGCATGTTCCCATTAATCATAGTTGTCTCTCAAGGTTTCTAAGCAAGGCACAGTCTGTAATTTCCTTCTGATTTTACATATTATTTATTACAGGTAGGATGTTGAAACTGTATGAAGGAGATGGGAGGATCAAGCCCATAAATTAGGTTAGATTGCACACTGTACAGATTATACCTGTGTGAGCTTTTCTGAAGTCGAGTTCCTTCTAAGTGATCAATTCATTTTCTTCTAGTTACAGTAGTGAGACCCAAGATTGAAGACAAACTAATTTTAAGCTGCTCTTAACAGCAACTTCTGTAGAAAAAATGTTGCTGGAATAATATGGATGAGGATTCTCGGATTGCTTTCTGGAGACTCTTAACAAGCGATGGATGGCTATTTTTTTCCCCATTAATAAAAAATAATGCATAAGAGAATGTGATTTCTTTGCTTAGCAGGTGTTCTCTAGATTCCTGTACAACTTGCCTAAAGGGTCTTTCTACAAATGGGAATCACATCAGCCTGATTCATATACTTCTACAAGTTCTTTACATCCTCCTAATAGAGTATTTTTTAGATATATTAAACTGCAAGAGGGAGGATATAAATACAACTCTATTCATGTTATATATGTCTAAAATGGAAAGAAGATGATGTACACATATAGAATGGCTGCAAAAAACCCAATATCA